GTTGCTGCAACCTAGACGGAATTCCGTCTAGGTTGTATGGTCAACCTAGACGAAATTTCCGTCTAGGTTGCCCCTTCAACATAGACGAAATTTCCGTCTAGGTGTTGCTGCAACCTAGACGGAATTCCGTCTAGGTTGTATGGTCAACCTAGACGAAATTTCCGTCTAGGTTGCCCCTTCAACATAGACGAAATTTCCGTCTAGGTTGCTTGTCAACCTAGACGGAATTCCGTCTAGATTATTCCGTCTAAATTGATCGTTTTTCTACTAGTGTATATAATTAAAAATTTTAGAACAAGAAACAAATATAACTTCATGTGCAATGCACGTGCACTATACTAGTATGCTTAAAATAACTATAACTATAGAGAAGCTGAAGACAACGGAGATGGAAGGCTCATAGTAAGGAGACTGTTGCCAGCATGGTGTCAAGATCAGGCGTTAAGAAAGGTAACAAAATGCCTATTAATTAAGTTGCTTGACAGCATGCAACATCCGGAGTTTAGAACTTAATCTATGTTGCAAGCTCTTAAAAATAAAAATACACTGATATTATATATACATAGGAGCAACATCAGGAATGCTGTTGATGGTGATGTTATATGTAGCATTCTTCCTGTGAGACTCTTTTTTTTTATTTATTTATTTTTATTCTTTGATTCCTCAACAGCCAGTCATAGTGCACGAATTTTTGGCAATTTTAATTAATTTTGACCCATGTGTAAATGATAACCAAAGGCAAAGTTCATGATTGCATGAGCTATAATGCATTTTTGGCCATTTTTAGTCATTTCGACCCAATGGTCATGTACATGAGCAGTAATGAACAATTTTTAGCCATTTTTAGTAATTTTGACACATTGGCAAATAAATTCATTAAGTTCAAAATTCATGATTTCATGAGCTTTAATGCATGATTTTTGGTTATTCATAGTCATCTCGACCGATTGGCAAATAATTTCACAGATGTGAAAATTCCCAATTTCATGCGGTATAACCCATGATTTTAGGCTATTTTTAGTCACTTCAACTTATGGGAAATAATTTTATGGAGGGTAAAATTCACGATTTTATGTCAAAATTCACAATTTCATGCAGTATAACCCATGATTTTGGGCCATTTTTAGTCACTTCAACTTATGAGAAATAATTTTATGGAGGGTAAAATTCACGATTTCATGAGCCATAACGCATGATTTTTTTACCTTTTTTGGTTGTTTTGACCCATAAGCAAATAATTTCGCAGATGGCATAATTCACAATTTCACAGATTCGTGAGCCATAACGCATGATTTTTTACCCTTTTTGGTTTTTTTGACCAATTAGCAAATAATTTCGCAGATGACATAATTCACAATTTCATAAGTTAAGACGCATGATTTTCGGCCATTTTTTTCATTTCGACGCACTGATAAATATTTTCATGGATGCTAAAATTCATAATTTTATTAGCTATAAGCCATAATTTTTGGCCCATTTTAGTCATTTTGACACATTTGCAAATAATTTTAGAGAAACCAGAATTTATGATTTTATAGGCTATACCATCAGAATTTTTTGTCATCTTCAGTCATTTCAACCCATGAAACTATTATCTAGTGGATGAAATGTCTATTTTATGCCATGTTCATTTATTTTCACCGGCCCATTGGCATCG